CAATCATAGAATCGATTCCGATCAAGCTGAAAAAGCCCTATATTATTAGTAAGCTAGTGCCCTGCAATCTTTCGTTAGCACTAACGCCCTATCTATAGTGACGGGGCCCTTTCTTGCTCTTGCTCGTTGGCGCTTTAGAAAGATTGCAGCTAGGGCGCCCCCTTCTTTCGTGAAGTCGACGTTTCGCGCTTCTTAGTCAAGCTTTGAAGCCCCTACCTTTATTTATTGGGATATTTGAGGAAGCGCAGGCGCGACGGCCCCCTACCCTACCCTAAGGGCTTTGTTTTTCCCCAACCTATACGACGGGTCTCGATCTCGCTTGGCTCTCGATGATTGTTGACTCAACATTGATTTCGTGCTTGAGTTGGAGGTCCCTCCCCCTATCCATCGAGTCAAGTAATTCGCTATCGGAAATTTATCCGCCGCGTATCTCATGCCATGCTTCTTCTTTCTCCGAATCGGTTCCTAGTGTCAGTCAATCAAGATTCGCCATCAAGAGAGGGAAGAGCCTTTACTTTAGGTTAGGCCGGTCTCGTCATTCACGAAATTCCCCCGTCCATCGATCACGCGAGTACGCATCCAGTCAGCACATAGCGAACGAAAAAAGCGCTGGCCAGCCGTGATCAAAATGTCTATTAATTGATCCCTATTCATTCGGTCAAAGTCTCCACGGCGTTTTCACGCCCCTCTCAGTAGAGGGGCACCATGTTGATAGGAATTGGAAAAGACCTTCTTGTACACGTCCTCGAGGGCAGCATTCATGGAAATCATCACTACTTTCTCCCGAGGGCATGGTATGGCTTTGTTCTTGGTGTTGTTTAATAGATGTCGAGTGCCGCTTTTCCCCGCCCGAGAATCCTCATCTGCTTAGAGTGGGCGAGCTAGAATCCTTATGTCAGGTTGGTTGTTCAAAAGACACTTTCTCTTTACCCTTTGCATCTTCATCTTTTCGAAAGCACAGACCAGAATAAACTTCTGCACCTATTTCAGGTGCAAAGCCTCTTCAATAAAGACCTCTTTCTCTCTTTCTTTTTTTTCTCCCTTGATTGAAAGAGGATAAGCGCGGTACATTGAGTAAAGGGAGGATTTGCTACATCGGGCGGTGGGTGGCCCCTTCGAGAGTTGCGGGTCCTTGCCGCTGCATGAGTGGTAGCTCATGCTCAAAACTCCTCCGACACGAGTCCTAGTCGTTGCGCTGCGGTCCGTTTCCCGTCTTCGCTTGCGCGATTTATTTGCACTTCTGATTGGTTTCATCCATCTCCGACCCTAATGAATCGAGTATGTATTCAGGGGTCAGCCAGTCAATCAGTTCGGGTTCTCGGTCGGTTCCCGTTCGCCTGCCTCCCTCATAGTCCATTAGTGGGTAGGGGGGGGGACTTAGAGGGCGCCCGCCTCCTCTTCAGACGTGTCCTCGACAATCTGGCGGTTGTTCGATCTCAGCTTTTGGGGGCGGGAGTGCTTGGTCGCTGGGGTTTCCTTTTCCTCAACCAATTCGGTTGTGTCAGCCCGGTCTAACATTTATGAGCTGGCAAGATGGATTGAAGGTAAGATAGATTTGAGTTTAACTGGTATAGGACCTTCGATCGACCATGGGGCGTATTTTCATTCTAAAAACTGAATTTGAAGCGTAAAAAGCTCCTTCTCATGTTGCATTTCTTTGGTTTGGAAGTTTCAGTATGTTGTCTGTGGATTTCTAACAAAGGAAAGCCCCCCTATGCCATTTGATTAATTAAAGTTCCGTGCTGCTCGCCACTCCCCGAGGCCAAGGACGGGGTCGAACCGTCATTCCAGGATTTGCAGTCCGATACATTTCCATTATGTTACCTAGCCGCCACCGCATATGTATAAAAAGAGGGAGCGGGGAAGGAAGAACAACCGTTTCACTTTGGAACATGAGGTGGCGGGCGGAGCGCTCTATATGATCGGCGGCGGGTTACCAGAGAAGAGGGGACAACTTCTTTCTCCCTTGCCTTGCTCCATTTTCCTTTTATGATTGAAAGTAGCAAGCCACTCCACTACTGGTATATAGGGCAGATCAGATAAAGGGTTGCTTCCTCCATATGTTCAGGCAAAGAACATATAGAAGCTAGCTTTTGTTTTGTCTTGTAAGCAACCATGCCTATAGAATTTTGCTTACCAAAGTGGTCTTACTAAAAGTAAGTAAGCAACCAGTTCCGTTCCAAGTGACATGGCTTTTCACTACTCTTTTCCAGAGAAGGTTGCTCATCCAGCCCGGCGGATCCATTGTTTATGCGGCAGTGCGATGCAGCTGAAAAAGCCCTTTCTTTATATTAGTAATATTAGTGACGGTATAGGTTGCGGAAAACTCCAAAACTAGGGTTCCAAAATAAAAAGCTTATTAATATAAGTTTTAGAAAAAGGCACCCCTACTATACCCCTAAACTAGAAGCTAGCGCGCAACGGCTTTTCCGCCGTTGTTGCTTGCTGCTTGCAAGCTCGAAAATCTCTCTTTCGCCTCGCCTCCCTGTCTCCATTCTGATTGATTCGCTTCTTCCTTCGCGCAAGCGCGGAACCCCTTGTTGTGTTGCATTTCGTGATCCTCCTTTTCTTTTCCGCTTACCACTATTCCTCCTATCTTTCAATGCCTTCCACCCAGCCCAGTACCTATAAGAAGTGCCTATCCTCTTAAACCTGACACGGGATAGGATAATAGTACAGCCTCGAGGCGAACAGCTCCTTTCTAAGCTCAGGGAAGAACACCTAGCCCAGCTTTCTTTCCGAGCCATCAATAACTGCCAGATTTTTTTTTCGGGTCCGGCTACCCCTTCAAGAGGTCCAGCTTTCCTTTCACCGGTCGGTCAGTTATGGAGTTCGAGCCAGCGCAGGCTTCACGGCCAAGTATTGTGCCGTTTTTAAGAAAGATCTTATCCTTTCTTTCACTCGTACCGTGACCGAAGCAAAGCCTCCCGTTGTGGATCTTATGACGACATGAAGTTCTCGAGTTGGTATTCAGTGAGCCAACATGGACTCGGAGGTCAGTGATTTCGATGGATTTCCGGAATATCTATATATAGTTTTCGTCCGTCTCGTCTGTTTAAAAGGGGCATAGACAAAGGCCGATTTTGTTTTGGGACTGCAACAAATTTCCAGATTTGGTCGGTGCTCGGTAGCATTCCCTTTATCTATCAAAGTAAAGTACGCTAGGGATTCTCTTCAAGTAGAGTAAACAAAACGGGAGGCACAATTAGTTGAGTCTAGCATTCCTGTGCAATTCCCTTCCTTTAATTCATTTGATTGGATTCCCGTCTGTTAATTCAATATGCTCTTCCCGCTTAGGTTAGCTGTACTCTCGTGTAGCAGTTAACGCTTGGTGGGAGTTCCAACATAGGAAGGCACCCGTAGGTTTTTATTCCTCTACTTTATTCAATGTAATTCCTTCATGTAAATAGACTTCTCCTGTCAACAAACAAGAAAACGGATGCCGCGCAAGGGCTTTTCGCGTTAGGTTCGGCCTGGTATACAAGCAATTAATGAGCCTAAACTAGGGGGTTACGCAAGGGGGGTGGGTACTCAGGTCTTGAAAGCCTCAATAAATAAAAGCGTGTATTTCCAGTTTAGGAAGAGAGAAAGTCTAATTCCACTAGAAAAACTGGAAAAAAACTCTTTTATATGAATTCAACCAACTCAAAAAGTAGTGGCAGGAAGCAGCACACCAGGAGGTGCGGG